TCGGGGCCACTCAGAGGCGGAAGACTTCCGTCCTAACTGTGTTGGCGCGGCCGGCCCCGTCAGCGGGAACCATGGCAGCAACCGGGCCGCAGCGCAGGGGCCCCCACTGGCGATCAGGGGGCCCAGTGCGTAGAGGCAAGCACTGCAGCGATGCCGTCGGTGATATAAGGTTATGTACTTGCACGTCAGGAAAAGCGCCGTGTGGCCGCCCAGGTGGGTGACTGGTTGCCCTGTACGGCAAGTCGACGAGCAGTCTAGGTTTCAGACCGCCACTAGCAAACTGCTGGGCCCGTGAGGTGGGTGCGGGCGGCAGGACCAGGCCCAGGAGCACTGCATACGGGGAGAACTGCCCGCTGCGGCAGCAGCGCGAGCGCCATGGCGGTGCGCGGAGGGAGGAGGGGACAAGGAAAGGGGGCGGGAAAGGAGAGGGCAGGGAGGAGGAGCGCCACGCCTGTAGGGAGGTTCACGCAGGAGCTGGAGGCGGGCGGCCTGTGCACTGTGCTGCTGTGGTCTCCTACGATCCGCCTGCATCCCCAGGTTGGCAAGGCTGGGCAGCGGGCGCACAAACTGCAGCCGACCAGCGGGGGGTGGCGGGTCTAGGGGCACCTAGCTGGTGCGGACTCTTGCTAATTAAGGAATGGCGGCCGAAGCCGCTGAGAGCCGCGCGCTGCCAGGGTGGACAGTACGCGGCCGATCAAGGGACACGTAAGCGGTGCAGAATCTTGTGTCAAAGGTCTCAACGGAAATGGTATGCGTCACGTGCCGTCGGGGTGGACGGCACGTGGTGTCTAGGGGCGTCACGATGGTACGGTGGGCGGTGAGAAGGCCGAAACTGATACGACTGGGTGTCCCGCACTGTCTGGGTGGACGGTGCGGTGCGGGTCAGCGTGCGCAGACACCTGGCAGCTTGGATGCGCAGTGACCAGAAAGACTTCGGCCACAGCCTGGCCTGGGGAGGGAGGTCTGAGCTGAGCAAGGGCGGCGGCCAGCTTGGATCCCCGGCTGGTGTACCTGCTCTGGGGGAGCAGCTTGGGGAGACTGGTGGTGGGCGAGCAGTGCTGGCTGTCCTGGAGCGGCCGCGGTGCCGAGGCCTTACAGGCCGGGACGGCGCTGCCTCGACTGCTCGTTGTTGGGCCAGGTGGGGTCGGCGCGTCTCCTGCTTTTCCGGCAACACACACACACGCAGACACTTTCCGTCGGCGGCTGGGCAGGGGGTGACTGCTCCGGCGGATTAGCAGACAGGGGGCGCTCTGAATGCAAATTGATGCCGCAACGCACGAGGGAGGAGGAGGCCCCGGCGCGACGGGAGGTGAGGAAGCCGGGCCCGTTCAGGCAAGTCACCAGCTGCGGCGGGGGGGAGCGCCGTGGGGGGGGGACCAGCGGCAGCGCTGAGCAGCAGGTGGGAGGGGATGGCGGCCTAGCAGACCAGGCAACCGGATGGGGGGAGCAACACATGGGAAGCGGAAGCCACACCACTGAGGACCGATATGGCAGACGGCCCCAGAGATGGGTCAAGGCGCCGAGACCAAAGGGCGACACACATACCGGGCTGGCCCAAGCACCAGGCCGATTTGAAAGTGACCGCCGCACACACACACACACACACACACACACACAATTACACTTACACTTTTGGCGGTAACGACCTCGCGCGCAGCGACGAGGCGGAGAAAGCGTAACTAAAAGGTGCTCGCGGCGGCCAGGCCCTCAAGCATCGCTTAGGATGCAAGCCTACCGGCATCGGCCATCCAGGCATGGATGGCAGGAGGGTGCACGCACGACCGTGGGAAAAATTCACCGTGGCTGCAGGAAGCGTGGAGAATGTCGTAAGCCATCCAGGCATGGATGGCGTGGAGGGAATAGGCACAACCGTGGGGCTGCCCACACGGCGGCATGAAGGACGGAGAACCAACGACGGCAAACAACCGTGAACGCATGAAGCGAAAGCCTGGGGAGAGCCGCAAGACAGGCACGAGGAAGAAGAAAGGCAGGCGGCCAGGCAGGTGCCGCAATGGCACCAGGCGCAGGCAAAGGAGTGCGACGCACAGAAACCAAAACTGGCGGGCCCGGCGCCAGGAGAACGGCAGAGCCAGCCTGGCGCCGAGCCTGCCGTCCCCGCCCCCTAGCAAGGCGGGGGGCGGGCCGTGTGTCACTAGATGCTGCCGAGGACGTCGCCGAGAGCAACGGCGGAGAACTCAGCGGGTGTAGCTCTTCTGCTGCTGGCGTGCCGGTGGCCCTTGGCCAGCCAGGACCTCCACTTCGCGCGGACGAAGGGAGCGCCTTGACGCGCCAGCGCACTTCCCCTCAAGCCAGGCGGCAACCTGCGCAGCCAGGCGCGAGCTGGGCTGGGGCGCGAAGCGCGCAGGAGGAGGCGGAGGCCCAGGCGCGACCCCACCGCCGGGCTGGCAGAGGGAGGGGCAGGGGCCGGTGGTCGGTGGTCGGCGGTCGCGGCGCGAGGCACTGGGAGCGGCAAGGCGCAGGGCTGCCCCGCGGCTGCTGGCAGGCCGTGCACCCGATGGCCGCGGGCCTTCACGTGTCAAAACCATGGCGCCCTACGACGTCCTCTTGGCACCGCATTGCCATGCATTAACGGCCATCGCCGCCCATTACCGCCTGCTGCCTGTGGTCGGAGGCGGCGTCGTCGCCGCACAGAGTTGCCCGCCGGATGGCGGTGGGGGTGGCGGCGGGGCGGGGGGGGCCAGGCAGCCAGCGCTCTGGCACCGCGGGCCGGCCACGGGGGACCCCGGGCACGCGCGCAGACACGCGCGCAGAGAGCGGCTCCGTTCCTGCCAGGAGGGCGACTGGGCGGTCAATCTGCAGGAGACGGCACGTCTGCCGCAAGGACCTTGCGGCCAGAACGACACGCCCTGCTGCTACATCGACGCCCCATCGGCAACAAGCTCCTGAAAACCTGGCGTCGGGAAAATTCCCACCAGCCCTTGAGGCCGTGAGTGGTTTAGAGCGGTTCTTCTTCCGACCCCCATTCTTCCCCTTCGAGGAGGGGTTCACCCCACCCCCTACTCCCTGCCCTGGGACCTGGACGGGGGGTTCGCGACCGATTGGAGCGTCCAAGATGGCCTCGGCGATAAGGCAAGAATCAATGATTTTACTCAGATGATGGGCCCATTTCAGCCTCCTGGGGGGAGGTAGTATCAGACCCTCCCTCTTTGATCAAACTCCTCGAGGATGGCCCCAAGATGGCCTCCAACACCACCAAGAGTGTCCCAAGAGGGCCTCAAGAGGCGCTTCAGAGACTCCCAAGAGGTCCCCAAGAGGCTCCTAAGAGACCCCGAGGCTCCAAAAGGCCCCCCCGAGGCACCCAAGACGCTGCCGCGGGACTCTCGTGGACCACCCTCTTGGCCAAATTCCATGGCGACTCTCTCTCTCTCTCTCTCTCTCTCTCTCTCTCTCTCTCTCTATATATATATATATATATATATATATCTTTCTTGGCATGGCGACCTCACGCCGCGGCTTACGTGGGCCGCCAGCACGGCGCGCCACAGTGGAGACGAGGGCGCTTACGCGCGACCTTTCGCGGGCAGCTTACGCGCCAATGTCGGCACAGTCGACCCCGTTTGCTGCCGTCTCCCAACTGTGCAGGAGGGGTGTCCCCCGAAAGCGTACATGTGCGTTGCCGCGTCTCGGGGGGTCACGAGCAAGGCGCGGCCTACTCTTCGCGCCCTCGCGCGGCCCCAGCCCCCGTAAAAGAGCGGCTCTCGGGCCCGAGCATCGGGCCCGAAAGCAGCTCTTCTCCACAGCGTCGCCCCAAGGCCCAAGAAATCTGCGTGGACCCCCGAAAGACTACTGGTTTGTGCCATTTTCTTCGTTCGTTGATGTTCGCGGCGGGCGGGGAGGAAGTGGGCGGCAGGCCCTCACGGCGCCCTGGTAGCCCGAAAGCTTCGAAGAAACTCCAGAACCCCTCTCTCTCATGCTGACCATGGCTCCTCCTCCTCCTCCTCCTCCTCCTCCCCCTCCCCCTCCTCCTCCTCCTCCTCCTCATCCTCATCCTCCTCCTCCTCCTCATCCTCTGACGAGGCTCAGTCGAGGAGGGCGAGGATAGACGAACAGCAAACTGCATCGGTCAGCGTACAACTTTCGGACGCCCGCGCCGACCGAAGGAGTCTGCGCGGCCCCCCGGGAGCAGAGGAGGTCGGCAAGGAGGCCCTTCTGCCAGAGGAGGAGGTCGGCGGGGAGGTTGGCAGGGGGGGCGGGAAGAGGAGAGCGAAATGTTTATGCCGCCCTGCACTCTTCCTCTATGAGGAAGATCGGGTCGGACGGAACGGAATGGGGGGTGTGCTAAAGGGAAATTGACGCATCAACTTACGCAAAAGATCTCCACAGCGGTTTCTGGCGCCGGAAGCGCCAGTTTATCGAGGAAAGCGCCTTGCCGCGGGGGGCCGCAACCAGCTGCACGCAACAAATTTCGCACCCCCCTTTCCCTACAATTCGGACGCGGCCGCGAGAAACCCTCGCAAGGAACCCAACCGTGAAAATCAGCGCGTGAGGTGCAATGCGGGGGGAACCCCGAGAAACCCTGAGTGCAGCAGCTTCTTGAACGGCCGCGGGAAGTCATGGCGTGGCGCGCGGAGCGAATAGACCCGAGGCTTCCAGTTTCATGTTGCGTGGCCCAAACTTCATCCCTGAAAAAAATCCCGAGACCTCTCCCAGGGTGCGTTCTTTCGAGGCGAAGCCAGCGGTGGCGACGAGGGCCTCCCAGGAGGCCCAAAGATGCGAGAAAACGAGACAGGGGTGGCGGTACCATGTCTGGACTGAGTTCAGGCCCCGCTGCAACGCGGTGCGGTGCATGGTTGCTTCGGCTCCGGGGGCCGAAAATCCATGCGCCGCAGGCCAGTCCTGGGTCGAGACTGGACGACGCCTCGGGAGACGCCGACGCGGCTCGGTGCTCACGAATCGTCTGCGGAGTGTCGGCAGAGGAGGAGGAGGAAGAGGAGGAGGAGGAGGAGGAGGCCGACCCGAGAGGTCGGCCAGAGCAGCCCTCACAGCAGCTCCCGCAGCGGCCGCACGCCGCCCGCCGCCGCGACAGGGGGCGCCGAGGTGCCCGCCTCCGCCGGCGCGGCGGAGGCCCCGGCGGACAGCTGCAGGCTGAGCAGGTTCAGGATGTCCTCGGGCGGCGGCGGCGGCGGCGGCGGCGGCGGCGGCGGCGGCGGCGGCGGCGGCGTCGTCGTCGTCATTGGCGGCAGCGGCGGCGGCGGCGGCGGCAGCGTCGGCGTCGTCGTCCCGCCCCATCCCATCTGGGGGGGGGCCGTGGAACCCTGGGACCCATCCCATCTTGGGGGAGGGCCAGTGAACCCTCGACCCGGAATAGTACATACCCTCACTTTAGGGAGACCCCCCAGACTAACACGCAACATGGTGTTGATATTGTATACCAACGCTACCATCCCTCACTGAAAAACTTCTCCTTGTCGCACCCCGAGGCCGGTTTTCAGGGCGAGCTGGGCGTTTCGCCTGAGACTTCCTCACCATCTATGAATATGAACCTTACAAAGTGACAACAGATTCACAGATGGAGGGCGGGTCGATTTCAAAATGTGGCTCTCGCATCATCGCCGTGCACATTCGTTTTGAAACTGCGTAAGAGTTTCACGGCTTGAGGGCGGGTGGTTTTCAAAATGTGGTTATCGCATTCGCGACGCGTACATGCGTTTTTAAAACTTTGCAAGAGCTTCACGGATTGAGGGCGGTTCCTTCTCAAAATGTGGATCTCGCATTAGCGCCGCGCAGATTCGTTTTAACCAGTTGCAAGAACTTCACGGATTGAGGGCGGGTGGTTTTCAAAATGTGGCTCACGCCTTAGCGCCGCGTATATTCATTTTGACAAGTTGCAAGAGCTTTCCGAATTGAGGGCGGTTCCTTTTCGAAATGTGTTTGCAAGATGGTTTCACGGATATTCATGATCAGCGTACCAGAAATGGTGTTTTGGAAGGATTCGGAAATATGAGGGTGCAACACATACAGTGATTCGCGGTGTTGAAGTCCAAAGATCGGCGTGCTGGCGCGATTCAGGATCGTCAAAACGCATCAGTCCGGTTGATCCGTGGCGTTCGAATCCCGACTACAATGTTTTGGCATTCTCCAGAGTCTTCAAACAATTGTCTTCCGACGAGGCAGTGCCCTCAGTGGAAATGAACCGTTGTGGGGGCCTGTGACGAGGGAGCTTGGAGTGAGGTTTGTTCCAACATCGTTGATGACCCTTAGGTGTACACTGGTCCTCCTCCTCCTCCTCCTTCATCGGGGGTGTCGAGGTTAGCTCGAGGTGTCGAGACCTCGAGATTAGCTCGAGTGTCGAGGTTAGCTCGAGGACTGAGAGCCGAGGATCGAGGCTCGAGGTTTGAGGCACGAGGGTCAAGGATCGTGGTGTCCAGGGCCGAGGTTCGAGGTTCGAGGATGGCTGTCCTCCGCCTGCCAGGGAACGGAGGGGGGGTGCTTGAGCATCGAGGGTCGAGGACGCAGGCGTCCAACGGGAGGGCCCTCGCGGGCACTGGGACCGTCCGAAAAAAACGACTCTGGGTGAGAGGCTGGCCCTCGCGGGCAAGGGTCGGGGCATCCGAGGAGCCCGAAACTAATGCAGAGAGCCACGGCATCGGATGTTCGAGGATCGAGGATCGCGGATCGAGGATCGCGGTTCGAGGATCGCGGTTCGAAGATCCAGATTCGAGGACCGCGATTCGAGGATCGAGGTGCGGGGATCGCGGTCCGAGGATCGAGGATCGAGGCTGTTGGCCGCCTTTTGCCCCACTCGTGGGCGTATTGAAATAAGGGCGCCGAAAAATCCGAGAAGATATCATGGCCCTGGCCATGACATCCACCCCCGCCCCACTCTGGGCCCTATAGCACCATCGGGGACAAGTGGATTCCCCCAGCGCTGCTGCGACAGGCCTGGGGGTAACGGATCGTGCCCCCCCTCAGCATGCTGATATGGAACATCACGCGATTTTGTATGACGATCGGTTGTTTAAAAAAACAAGGCACCCTAAACACAAACCCTAAAAACCATCACTCGGGCGGGTGGCCTGGGGGGTGACCTAAACGGGGAGGGTGAAGAACAGGCTGTAGAAGGGGGGTACCTAAATGCGGGACGACCCCCCATAACAGTCAAAACGTGTAGTAAGGACGGGTGGCAAGGACGCAAGAATTGGGCGACGGACGACCAGTGAAAACGGCAAAGGACGGGCCGTAGAGGCAAGGACACAATGGCACCCTAGATGAAGGCGCGCATCCTTACTATGCGCGTTGACTGTGCCACCCGCCCGGATCCTGACGCACAGGACGTGTTTTGGATGCTTGCGAAGCACCGCGTGCGTGGGAGCGAGAGGGGGAGGAGAGCATCGTAAAGAGAGGCTCGCCACCCCGAGGTTCTCGCTGGGGAGCCCCCCCCCAGCCACATCGGCCCTCAGCGGGGGCGGAGCGGGGCGCCACCAGCGGCGGAGAGGGTGGCGGTCTTCGCGGCCCGTGGGCCGCCATCGCTGCCTCCGAAGCGGCGACCGACACAGCTCCTCCTCCTCCTCCTCCTCCTCCTCCTCCTCCTCCTCCTCCTCCTCCCACGTCCTCCTCCTCCGTCCTCCGTCCTCCCCCTCCTCCCCCACCTCCTCCTCCTCCTCCTCCTCCCCTCCACCTCCTCATCCTCCTCCTCCTCCTCCTCCACCTCCTCCCCACTCCTGCTCCTCCTCCTCCACCCCTCCTCTTCCTCCTCCTTCTACCTCTCCTCCTCACACCTCCTCCTCTACACCCCCCTCCTCCCCCTCCTCCTCCTCCTCCTCCTCCTCCTCCTCCTCCTCCTCCTGCTCCTCCTCCTCCTCCTCCTCCTTCTCTGACCAGATGTGGATGGTCGGTGATTGAACTAGACACGTCAGGCATAATTTTGCGCGCTGTCTACGGAGGCCTGCCAGGTACAATTCAGACGGTGCCCAGAGCAGAGTATTATGCGTCTCTCATGGCTGAGTGGACACCACCATTGTGTCTGATCATCTCTCTCTGGTGCGAGCTGGAAACAAGTGGGGCCCCCACAACGAGACGGCGCGGTCTCGTCACGCCTCGGTTTGGCGTACCCTGCATTCCTTGCACGCGGACCAAGGGCTTGATTCCGAGCCGCCACGGCTCTCGTGGGTGCCAGCGCATCGCACAGAGGAGCAAGTTTTAGCAGATCACTCTGCAGAATTTCTAGACTTTATTGGCAACGATTGGGCTGATTACTTTGCAAGAAAAGGAGCTCGATCAATTGCGGTCGCCAAGGTTCTGGAAGATAACTACAGCGGCAGGCTCCGACAGGCGAGCAAGGACGCTGAAGTTTTTTTTTCGTGGATGGCCAGAACTGTTGCAAGGAGGGTTGATGAGCTCCAGCCGAAGGCAGATAACCCAGAGGCCACGAGAGCTCCCCCTCCTGCACCAACCTTGGCCATCGAGGCACACGATTTCCTGGTTTGCGATAGGCTCAACGAATTCAGGTGCCAAATGTGTAATCATTGGTCTCGCACGGCTGCATCTTTGAAAGCATTGAGAGGCCGACCTTGCGAACCCACCCCCAGAGAGAGAGAGCCGCCGCGCACAGGTTCTTCTCTTGCACCCCCGAGGCGTATCGACCGCCCTCGGAGGCTGTGGTACAGGCACTTCTTGCAGCAGGAGGCCCAGCCCCTGGCCATGCAGGACCCGAGGCCAGGCGCAGGGACGCCGCAGCCGCCACGGGGCAAGGGGGGGTCGTTGTCGTCGCTGAGGACGGTGGTGGGGATGATCCTGAGATTTCGGTTTTGAAGAGGCTCGGGCATGTCGCCGAGAGGTTCGGGCCCCACCTAATCGGTCTTGCGTGCGGGGCTTATTCTATAAGCCAGGGTCGTAACAGAAAGCTGGACAAGATCTGTGTCGGTGCTAGTGAGGTGCCGTCGACCCGTGCTAAGCAAGAGCAGGCTGTTGCGCGTCTGATGAGGCACATTCACCCTCGTTCTGGAAAACCCTTACCAGAATGTCCCCGTGCCGTATAAGCTCCACACGTGTTTTCAAGCACTGCCGGGGCTATCACGGCACGGAGGTACTGCGCGTTGCATTGTCTAGTGCAGCGCAGTATTTGTTTTCCCTCCACTGAGAGGCGTTTGGGCATCAGACGCGTCCTTCATCGCTCGGGACCTCCTCCTCCTGCTCCTCCTCCTCCTCCTCCTCCTCCACCTCCTCCTCCTCCTCCTCCTCCTCCTCCCCCTCCTCCCCCCTCCTCCTCCACCTCCTCCTCCTCCTCCTCCTCCTCCTCCTCCACCTCCTCCTCTTCTCCTGCCCAGCCTCCTCCTTCTCCTCCTGCTGTTCGGAGAACATGTCGGGGGCCAGACGAGCTCCCAAGATCACTCTTGCAGCCAATCCATATCAGTTTCTGCTCAGTTTTGTGACGAGTCTCCCGAGGTCGACCAATGGCCAGATGAGGAGGACCCGTGGGCTTCTGAAGACGCGTTCTGTCAGGTCCAGAGTAAAAGCGAGCCGTCGGTCGTCAGCATCGTCACTTCTCGTGATACGTCTGAGCCAGCTTGCAGTAATAGTGTCGTTCAGGGTCCACCCCCCCCAGCCAAAGGTTGCGTCTCGAGTTTAACCCCCCCCTTTAAGGAAGTCCCTACGTCAAAGGTCGAGCCATCGTTTCACATCCCAGCCGAGGTTTGGGCACGGTGCCGTGCACAAAATATGGGCACGTCCCCGTGGGACCCTCACCCGCCCTCTTCCTCCTCCGTAGTGTCTTGGCTCATCTCCCAGCACAGGGAATCTGCTAGTCTGTGGTACGGCCAGTGGGTCTCCACTCTTGAGCAGGCCATTCTCTCGCACCATCAGTTGCCCGCCGCTGTTGGCACGTGCAGGGCTGTGGGCTGCAGTTTCGTGGTCGAGCCCGTCAGCCACAGTGGTCGGCAGCGCGAGGTCCCACTCCGGGACCAAGTGACAGCTTGGTGGAAGAGAGTTTCATCCATATTACATCAGACTATACGTCATCTTGGTCGTGACAACGGCGTGAAGCAGCTGGTCCAGCTACATCGCGCCTGTCTCCATCTTGCGAGCGATCTACCTGAAGGTGTAGCCAGCTTGCTCAGGGCCGACGAGCCCAAGTTTGACGAGTGGATCGGTCTTCTGTTGAACGTCG